CAGTTGTAGCCACAGCTGCCCTGGGGCAGACTATCTATCTATCTATCTATCTATCTATCTATCTATCTATCTATCTATCTATCTATCTCTCTCTCTCTCTCTCTCTCAAACCATTTCAGGTGATGACATCATGAAGCTCATTGAGAGAAGGCCAAGGGTTTACAGCACTGTCAACAAAGCAAAGGTTGGCTACTTTGAGGAATCTAAAATATAAGCTACATTTAGAGTTATTTATCATTTTTTCCTTTGCTACATAATTCCATATATCTTGCTTCATATATTTGATGTCTTCAGTTTGTATATACAATGTAGAAAGTAGTAAAAATAAACAAAAACCATTAAATGAGATGTGTCCAAACCTTTGACTGTGAGTGTATACATAGTCGGTGAAACCTCTGTTATATACACAATGCTGACTAACTTTTCTCCATAATGAATAAAGGAATGCTCTTCTCTTTAAAGCCTTTTATTGGATGACAGAAAGGGATTCATGTTATCTGCTTTTAATGGACACAGCAGTCAACTTTGCTGCAGGATGCGCATTAAGAAAAGCAGCTGAGTGTTTGCATTTCCTCTTCTCCGAGGCCACGCAGCTTTGCCCCTCTGTAAATGTAGTCATTTATTTATCTGTTTATGTTAGCATGAAAGCAAGTTAAACTAAACAGGAATAAAACAAGCAACACCACAAGAAAGTTCACAGGTTACATACCCTACAGCAGGGCTGCCCAATCCCAGTCCTCGAGAGCTACTATCCTGCAGCTTTTAGATGCATCCCTACTCCAACACAGCTGAATCAAATGAATGGCTTGTTATCAGGCCTTTGCCAAACACGATGGCATGCTGAAGAGGTAATCAAACCATTTGATTCAGCTGTGTTGGAGTAGGGATGCATCTAAAAGCTGCAGGACGGTAGCTCTCGAGGACCGGGATTGGGCACCCCTGCCCTACAGGATAGTAGATATTGGAATAATTAAAATTTAGCTTAAAAAAGAAACAAAGGTAAAAAGGTATAAAAACTTCAAAAGATAACTTCATAAGATAAGAGATATTTATCAGTGTTACTGTTTTTGTTCAGCTGCACATATCTTCCTGTATCCCACCTCTCAGACTGAAATCAGTAAAGTATGAAGTGACTGTATAGATTTTTAATGGTAAATCTTCATGAACCACAAGCTTACATGCAGCTAAATGAGTTCTGCAACACCTGATGATATCTGCACTTTAAAAAGAACCCCCTTCCTCCTGCACATCTGAATCCGCTAACATAAAGTGAAGGTGGTGACACTGCTTCTGATTTTTCTGATGAAACCTGCTGCAAGGTTACCTCGTGTGGAGCATCTCCGGTACCTCATTTATAAAACTTGACTGCCAATTATACTGTTCTCTGGACTCCTAGTGGTAAAATCAGAATTTTAATGAATATCACATTACAATATTCACACAAAGCCACAGTGTCTCTGTGTTGTGTAAGTTAAATGATGTCTGCAATTGGATCAGCTATATATATATAAGTATATATAAATAAATCCTATATAGTAATATGATATAATAAAATATTATAGGTGTGGTGACTATAATATGGTTTCTAATTAGTTTTTTATATTATTATATGTATATATATATAATTATTAACTTAATATAATTATAGTGATTATTATTTAATTATAATATAGAAAGTACGGAATATGTTAATATTATTGGCATACAAGATTATCTCATATATCCATCTTCTTCCACTCATCAACAGTCTAAGCAGAGAAGCCCAGACCAGACACTGAGGCGTTCCTACACCAGTCGAAAGAAATAATCTCTCCAGCATGTCCTGGGGCTGCCCCAGGGCCTCCCGGTGGGACACGTCTGGAACATCGAACCCGGAGACGCCCAGTAGGCATCCTTGACAGATGCCCAAACCACCTCAACTGGCTCCTTGTTGTGGAGGAGCAGCGACTCTACTCTGAGACCCTCCCCGATGGCCATCAAATCTCTAAGGGAGAGGCCAGCTAGCCTTCAGAGAAAGCTAATTTCTGCCACTTGTATCCGTCATCTTGTTCTTTTGGTCATACCCAAAGCTTGTGACCATATGTGAGGGTGAGGACGTAGATCGACTGGTAAATCGAGAGCTTCGCTTTTACACTCAGCTCTCTCTTCTCTACACCGGACCGGTACAGCATCCACATCACTGCAGCAACAATCCGTCTGTCGATCTCCCGATCCCCTCTCCCCTCACTTGTGAACAAGACCCAAGATACTTAAACTCCTCCACTTGGGGAAGTAACTCGTCCCTGACCTGGAGGGGACACTCCACCCTTTTCCGGCTGAGGATCATGGCTTCAGTATTGGAGGTGCTGATTCCTCTCCTGCTTCACACTCAGATGCAAACCACTCCAGTGCTAGTTGGAAGCCACCGCATGAGAAAGCCAACAGAACCACATCATCCGTGAAAAGCAGACACGAGATTCTGAGATCGCCCAGGTGGAAGCCTTCGGCAGCTTGGCTATGCCTAGAAATCCTGTCCATAAAAATTATGAATAGAATCAGTGACAAAGGGCAGCCCTGGCAGAGTCCAACGCCCACTGGGAACAAGTCCAATTTATTGCTGGCTATGCGGACCAAGCTGTTGCAACGGTTGTATGAGGATAAAACAAAGTCACAGGGATCAAAATCTAGAGACCAAGGATGGGTGAGCATCTTTTGTTTATCAGTCCCCAAAGACAGAGCCACTATGTTTACACTGTATTGTATGGTTTTCAGTGCTATTCCTTATCCTTATCCAAGCCTTTGGGCTTAGTTTGGTCTCTGGATCCTATCCAGTGCCTCAGATTTTATGCACAGTGATAATCCTGGAAATAAAAGCTAGAAGTTGGTGCTTGATCTATATGCAAATTTGAGGTTCATAGTAAAAGTTGTCGAAGACAGCAAATAAAACATTCATGGTCTTGGTGGCTAAATTTAAATCAAATTTCAGTTTATGAGCAGAATCATGAAACTTCAGACCCTACATAGACTCACCAAAAAGATTGTTCAGGTCTCAACGACCTAAAACACATTTAGTAAATGTTGTAGAAGCCATAAACTCACTAGTAAACTGAGGTAACTGATCAAGGTAACTGATCAAGTAAGAAGTAAGGTAATGTTTTCACACTTTAATATAATCTTCTTCCTTCTTTCATTCCCATGTTTTATGCAGTTAGTGGAGTTTACCTCTGTTGTCCAATACAAAAAAGTATTTTTTTCTATTTGACAAAAATCTATTATCATGAAATAGTTCCATTTGTCATATAAAAATCATAGATTTACTTACATTTCCAAACTGCTTTCAAGGAGAGTTTTGTCTAAGAATTTATTTGTACCCATTTTGCTTCTAAAGTCTAACACTGTATTCACATTTACGGTTTTGACTTTGACTTTATTTACTAATTACACACTCCATTTCACCATTTAAACACTCACATTAAAAAATTAAATACATTAAAAAATGGTTGTTGAAAGTGAATTAAAGCACTGATGTCACAGGAATTCAAAACAAGCAAACACATCCTTATAAATGATTCAAGAGAACAAGTGTCTTTAACTTTTTTCATTTTTATCTACTTTCTATGATAAAATGTCAGCATTCAGAGAAAGCCATTATAGATTCTTTAATGCACTTCTGCTTGAAGACAATTTTCTGTCTGCCTCTGTCCTGCAAGACGTTTGAGTTCTCCCCCCTTTTACTGGTGGATTTATACTTGCAGATGCTATCTCTTTGTACTTAAATAAAAGTCAAATGGATAAAGTTCTGCAGGCCTTGTAGAAACCTGAAAGGCTCTGAGTACTGGCTCCTTTTATAAGCACAGCAGACAGCTTGAGTAATAAAAATTGTAGATTAAAGTGACTTCAAGTGAAGCCTTCACTCCTGGTTTCAAGCCATCATTGTGTTCCCACAGTCCAAGGTCCTCCCTGCTTTTTCTATTCTCTACTAAAATGGTTCTTATGCTATGGATCAGTAAACAAAATGGGCCATGGGCCAATAAATGGTCCCTGCATGGCAGGAATGGGACTATTCTTTCCACAGATTGCTCTGGGTGTTTGAGAAAAAATGTTCTCATTTAGTTGTGGAATCTTAAAACTACTGAAGCTAAACCAAAATGGTTTGGAAACCTTTTTACCTTTATACTTGAGAAATCACGTTACTCAGTCACCACAGCATGGAATGTGGCAGTGTAATCCAGCATGACTAATGTGAAGACTTTCGTTTTTAGTTTGAACCTTTATTACAGGTGGCAGCATTTTAGCAACGCTGGGGTCAGCATAAATATTGTCAATGGTCAATGGCAGAGTGGGGATGTTTTCTGAGATCTGAGATATGAATCTCTCAACTTTGTGTCCTTAGATCCTTAGAGAGCAGGCTTCCTAGCTACTTTTGTAGTTTAGCAATTCATCTGTAGAGTAGTAGGCCTCAGCTGCCATCACTATCTCAAGAGGGCACGCAGCATCCTACGGGACTGCACACACCCAGGACACCGGGTGTTTAAGCTGCTGCCGTCTGGCAGGAGGTTCAGGCTGCTGAGGTCCCGAACAAATAGACTCAAGGACAGCTTTTACAACAGGGCAATAGCCCTGATCAATGCAAATAGCTGACCTGACTGGATACCTCCCTGGACTTTTTAGGGGGAGGTAACAATGTTTAAAACGATAACAATAATATTTATATTTATAACAAGGTGCAATAATAATTAATGTGCAATAATAACAGTGTGCAATACACATACACTTATTCTTCTTTTTTATACTAAGTTAATATACTGTGTTGTGTTGTTTGTTACGTTGTGATGTGTCATATCGTGTCGTGTTGTGTTATATGTAGTGCCGACGTAGGACAGTTTTTCCAATTTCATTGTACTACTGTACTATGTATGACTGTGCAATGACAATAAAGAGTTATCTTATCTTATCTTATCTTATCTTAGCAAGCCGTTAAATCTCATCGTACAGCAAACACTGGACAAATGTTACTTTTTGTCATGGTCTGGTTGGGCACCTGCAGGTCTCAGACAGCGGCTCCTCCTCCTTTAGGCGGAGTCCGGTTGCCCCTCCCGGGCTGACCACCTGTGAGCAATCGTGCCAGCGGTATATCAGACCTGCGCTCTCAACCCCTCATCGCCTGAGTATCTGCTATTCCCATGTTAGTTCTGTGGAGCATCCTAAACCTTGTCTTAACGCCGTGTGATGACTCACCTGTCCTTTCTTGTCCTCAGTGATAGCACCCGGAGTGGAGATCTTGTTCCCCTCGCTCCCATCCTCCTGGACCGGGGCCGCCAGCTGCTTACACAACGTGGCCTGCCGGCCCACCGCTCACCTGCCTGCCTCCCCACGCCTCGACCGCTTCCGGATTTTCCGCCCCACCTGTCCCCTCCATCTGAAACCAAGTAAGGCAATTCAATTCAACTGCGGAGGATTGTTGGTTGTCTGCTGGATCCCTCTGATCGTGATCTCCTCTTGTTCCAGTGCCCCCGGCCCCTGCCTAGTCCTGTTTCTACCTCCCCGCTGTCCCCGCTGTCAGCTGTCTCCTAGAGGTGTCTAGGTCGCCCTCATTATCCCTGACGAACCCTACGCGCCACTAGTGTGGTGGCGTCGCTTTATGTTTTACCTTTGTTTACCTGTGGGCGGAATAAATCATTTGTTTTCAGTCACCTCACTTCCGGGTTGGTTTCTGCGCCTGTGTCCATCCCTGTTCCCTCGTGCCGCTGGGCCGTGACACTTTTGAAGTCTTGAATCCACAGTTGTACTTAATTTGCTAGCAACGAGCTGGTGAATTAGTAACCCAACAATGTACTTTATCCAAACCTCTGATTCACAAGTATAACCAAGCAGATCATTTTTTAAATTTTAATAAACGGCTGTTAAATAAACAGCAAGTGAAAATAATCCATTATCTTCCAGGAAAGGAAGACCTAAGCTAGCATTAGCTCACCAGCTAGTGTTAGTGTTTTAGCAGAGAGCTCTTTTTTTGTGCTGTGTGTTGCTGTTTGTTGTTGTTAATGAGTGTATGCTAATTCTTAATCAATTTTCTAACTTGGCAGGTTATATCCTGCTGTGGAGAGGCTACTGCTAATGGGACCGTATGCTCGGTCTGAAATCATCTTTAGGAGGGTGACAAATTTGATACATTTTATAGTAGAGTGGGGTTAGAGTTAGAGTGGGGCCTCATCTTTCCTCAGCCCTCAGCCTCAACACCGGCTCTCCACAAGGCTGTGTACTGAGTCCCCTACTGTACACTCTGTACACACATGACTGTGTTAGTTCCCACCCAGACAACGCAGTCATCAAGTTTGCAGATGATACCACTTTGGTGGGGCTCATCTCTGGGGGAGATAAGATGGGGTACAGAGCTGACGTTCAGAGGCTTTCAGATTGGTGTGTAGATAACAACTTGGACCTCAATACAACCAAGACAAAAGAACTGGTAGTTGACTTCAGAAGGAAGAAATCTGAACTGCAGCCTGTCAGCATCAATGGCGAGTGTGTGGAAAGGGTCTCCAGTTTCAAGTTTCTGGGCGTGCACATAGACACAGACCTCCAATGGAGCTCTAACATCTGTGCAGTTTTAAAGAAGGCCCAACAGCGTCTCCACTTTCTGAGAATCCTCAGAAAAATGGACCTGAAGAAGGAGCTGCTGACCGTCTTCTACCGCTGCTCCATTGAAAGTGTGCTGACATATTGCATCAGTGTGTGGTTCTCCAGCTGCACCACAGCACACAGAAAGGCACTTCAGGGAGTCATCAATATGGCCCAAAAAAAATTTGGACATCCTCTTTCCTCCCTGAAGGACCTGTACAGCACTCGCTTAAACACCCAGGACACCCGGTGTTTAAGCTGCTGCCGTCTGGCAGGAGGTTCAGGCTGCTGAGGTCCCGAACAAATAGACTCAAGGACAGCTTTTACAACAGGGCAATAGCCCTGATCAATGTAAATAGCTGACCTGACTGGCTACCTACCTGGACTTTTTGGGGGGGAGGTAACAATGTTTAAAACAATAACAATAATAATATTTATATTTATAACAAGGTGCAATAACAATTAATGTGCAATAATAACAGTGTGCAATACAAATACACTTCTTCTTTTTTATTACTAAGTTATTATACTGTGTTGTGTTGTTTGTGTTGCGTTGTGATGTGTCGTGTCGGGTCGTGTTGTGTCATATGTAGTGCTGACGTAGGACAGTTTTCCAATTTCATTGTACTATGTATGACTGTGCAATGACAATAAATAGTTATCTTATCTTATCTTATTTCTAATGTCCAGATGAAAGTCAAGGGCTCAGTGCTAATCACTGTTATTTCACCTGTCGGTGGTTTGTATTTTGACTGACTAGTGTGTAAATGATAACTTTGTGAAAAAAGACAGCCGAAGATGTAAGCTGAAATCCTTCCTTCCTGATCAACCTGTGTAAGTTGATGCTTTTAAAAATTTCCAGTTTTGGAAAGATGTAGAAATTCAGGAATGGATGCTTCCCAAAGCTTTGATGTTGTTCCCCAGCTGCTTGTGTTGAACATACTCATGTCTTAAGGTCAGAAGAGTTAATATGATGCCTTCTTCAGTGACAAAAGTTGAGGTGGAATCTTTTCTAATTTCACAGTAGCTGTGCTGCATTTCAGTTTACTTGAAAAATGTGTTCATCAGTCTAGAATGAACAGGTTTGAGCTTAGAGCTCATTCGGGAGGGAGGGCACAGGAGACAGCTCAGCCCCCTGCTGTTTCCACTGATGTGTGGTGAATGAAAAGCAGTTCCACAGTCAATAAGTTCAAGCTTGAACACATTTATATTGGTTAAACCAAACAGTGATAAATTGTTGAGCATTTAATACCTTGTTGTAATCAGTGCCTGAAATTGCAGGGGGTCCCAGAAGGAAGGCTAATATTAATGTAATAATGTTTTCTGGTTGCCTGCTCTGGGGCAGCTGTAGACAAGTCCCAAACCTGGCCTAGGTGAATAAATGCTGTTGTGATTTTTGTTGTAATTGTAAAATAAGTGGTTGTTTAAGAAAAGCTCCTTGTCTCAATAAGCATTTTATGGCTCAAATACAATATTTCTTATCTATATAAGATATGGTCTATGACAACTGGAAAAAAAGAGATGCTTCGCAATCCATTTTATTTAAGGTATGGATCAAAATACAGTCGATACCCATTTATAGTTGTGGTCAGATGTTTACATACACTCATCATGAGCATGAATGACATGGAAATTTTGGGCTTTTATTAATTTTTTGGAGCTGTTTGCTTTTTTCAGTCTGATCAAATTGGTTCAAAAGCTACATTTCCTTGGTGGAAAAAAACCTTTAGCACAGTAGACGACATTACATTTAAGGGACTTGGGAAATAACCCCAATAAACTGTGACTCTTTTTTATTTTAGATAAACAACTTCCGTTTACAACTCTCCAAAAACTCAATTTAATAAAAACATTCAGTTTACAGTGTTGGCCTTTGTTACTTTTTTATTTTATTAATTATTGACCAGATATAAAACAGAAGCCAACAATTTGCATGAAAGATCAGTTTTTAAAGCAAACATCATGAGCAAAAAAACAAACACACACAAAAAAAGATAAAAAGTAATAAGAGATGAAATGAAGTCTCATCAAATAAACAGCTGCTGGTTTCTTTCCAAGTTCTCAATTCTCCGAGCTCGAGGTCCTGCCAGCTTTTTGTTCTACTTCATTGAACCTTTAACTGTTGAACTGTATACTACTGATGGGATTTAACTGTATTTATTTAGCAGTGGTAAAAAATCAGAGCAAAAAAACTGACTACACTTGCTAAAACCAAACGAAAACATATCCATTCCAAAAGAAGTGCAAATCGAAAGGTCAGAAATCAGAAATGTGTATTGGCTCTGTAGAATTAAACTGGGAATGTCTGGGCTGCAGCAGAAGGGAGTTGTGTGTTAGTTACTAAATCTAAATCCAGTGCAGGATCCACCTCTACTATTGCAAATGTCTCAATTTCTGAATTACATACACTGGCAAAATCCATGTCAGAAAAAGAGCCCTACAGACCTACAATCTTAAGCTGTTTATTCCTTTTTCTCACCTTTTTTTGTGATCTCAGACTTTTTAAATTATAAATATAAAGGGATATAAGGGATATATAAAATGATAAAATAAGACTGTTACTACAGTATGACAGTTATCAATGATATGAAGTGACCTTTTCCGTGTTTGAGGCTCGCCTATTTCTGAAAAGACAAAGTGGAACCTGCAGTACGTGGCTCAAGCCGTGGTTACAGCATCAAGTGGAAGAAAATCAATCTCATCTTAAAAGGCTCGATTCATAACAGCTGTCAGATGCTTGCTGCTTCCTCTAGGGCCACGTTTGTTAATGTAGTGATTTATAGTACTCAAGATGTTTAAGGTTTACTATAAAATAACTGTAAATCCATAGTGCTCAACAGTGCTTTGTAGTACGACTCACACATTCTGGTTTTGCAGGTAATAATCATTTCTCAAACTTTTTTTTGTTAATAATCTATCCCTCATCTCTTTATTAATCTCATCTCTCTATTCTTCTTCTTCTTTCATTCCACATGTCTGTCTTCCTTTCTCCACCCCTGCTCTCTATCTGTCTCTGGTTCTTTGCCATCCGTCTGCCTCTGTGCCTGAGGTGCCAGTTGCTATTTGGATGATTTAGTCCGAGAGGGAGAAAGGGATTTCATTAGCTGTTTACCTGAGGGCCTCTGGTACCTGTGGTGCTATAAGGCTGCTTTATTAAAAAAATCCCCCATTCAGCTGTGGAAAAGCGCAGTGGCACAGCGGGTTAAGGTTCAACCAATGCATCTGGCCGTGAGTTTGAGCCTTCGAATTCGGTGTGCACCTTTGGGCTGGTATACCCGCAGTGCTGTATGAATGCTTTATTTATAATCCTCGAGTCGATGTGATAAACATCGGGGCTCATCATGTTAGGGTGCACTACATGCTGTGGGTTCGAGTTTTCAGAGTGGGCATGTACTCATGGGATTCTGCTACAACCCTGGTTTATTAGAAAAAACGACAGTACTGGAAGTGAAATCACATCAGGTAATGGTTTATAGTGTCCGCTCAGGCTGTGAGTTTGAGCTCGTGTCAGTGTATAAGGGAGGAAAAGAAAAACACACTCGAAAGCCATTTTATTACTCATTTACCTGAGGGCCTATGCTGCCAGTGGCACTTCAAACATATTTTATTAGTTTGGTTTTTAGTTATTAAAGGTAAATTCTGGCTTATTAGATTTTGGACCTTGTTTTTTGTTATTTTAGTCAACTTATCTATAGTCCGTCACAAAAGCAATTTGGTTTAAAGGAGGACCCAGACGCAGACATGGAGATGGTTTCAAAAACAAAACAGTCATCTTTATTTAATAAAACTGATACAAAGAATAAGTCCAACAACACATAAACGTCAGTGAAGGCAAACTAAAATAAAAGGAGCAGCTGCTAGTCTGCAAAAGGTGTGCAAGAGAACCTGCAGCCGGTTGGAAAACAACAATAAAACTCTGGTGATATTTCTGTCAGCTTTCAAAGACAAAACAATTCTGCCTGAATTGAGCTGGAACGTCGCAGCTTTGACGTAGCTGGTGACACCTCCTAAACCTATGCCGTAACCTTCCACGAAATCTGACGTGCACCTCGCAAGAA